GTACACACCTATATGACCCTCTGAAGGCAGAGGCAGGAGGATTGTGAATTCAAGGTCAACCTAAGAGATATGGCAAGACCCTATCTCAAAAAGACATAACAAAACCAAGTAAGCCACTAGCCAGTTTTGCGACCCAGAAGCCATTGCTTTGAATGTAGACTGCAAGAGAAACCATGGCCAGTAGCTGTTCCCTTTCTCAGTGGGAAGATAATTGTCTTATGTAGGTGCTTGGCTCTGGAACTGTAGATGTACCTGGTGCATAGAGACCTGGAGATGCATCCATTCTTTGGATTAAAACAAGTAGCTAGCACATATGGCATCCCAATTCTAAAGTGACCTTCGGATGACCTCTGTATGACAGTGGTGCCGCCAAGTCCTCTTCTCTGTGTTTCCTTGAGCAAATGTCCATATAATGGATTCTATCTGCTTAGCTGTGTGAAAGGATGAGGCCCCTTCTGTCTCTTCAGTGGATCACCTAAGACATGTATTACTGGTGAAAAACACATTCAGTAATAGTGCTTTAATTTGCCTTCCTATATTTTGCAGAAGACAATTTCTGGGGAGGCAGGAGATTTAAATATTAGTCCCTCAACACTTATTACTTGTTGCTCATTTGAGTCCAACACCATCCTTCTGCTCAGTGTGAGAAAGAAACAGATGACAACAATGACGATAACAACGACGACGATGATGGTGATGATGATGATGATGATGATGAAGGTGATGATGATGAAGATGGTGATGATGATGATGAAGATGATGATGACGATGATGATGGTGATGATGATGATGGTGATGATGATGATGAAGATGGTGATGATGATGATGATGATGATGAAGATGATGATGGTGATGATGATGATGATGATGATGATGACAGAAAGGAAGGAAGAGAGGGGAGAGATACACATTTATGCTCTGCTCTCCTGGAAGGCCCATTTTCTATGGGGTAATCACTGCAGAATCACCATAGAAACTGCCGAGGATAGCTGTTGTGGTACCCAGGAAGCTGACAACCTGTTGTCTCTGATGGTTAGAAGTCTGAAATGGTCATCCTGGATAGTGAGCTGCTGCTGGACACAGGAACCTGAGCAGGGAAACAGCAAGAGCAAATTTGCTATCTCCTGTGTTTGTTGTTAGGGGAAGTGCTTCAAAATCTACCTTCAAAAGGATGCAAGCTCGTTTGGAAGCAGGGCCTGAGCTTGAAAGGTACCAGATTTAAAAATGAATGAGAGATTCTCAAAGCAAATGATCCTGTCTAGATACAGAAGCCCTTGTGGGAATGGATGTGGTGAAGGACCTGTCCTTACTGTTATGAGTGACATCTGAATGCCATATCAAACTGTAGTATGTTGATCCAGATGCCCACCTATGTGCCAGCCTCTTAGGATAGAAGGCCTGTGGTGATCAGATGCCACCGGGCTTTTCATGGAAATCATTCTCTCCCTGTCTTCCTAACACTGATTCTTCAGAGTCCCCATTTCCAAAATCCTCCTACCATCGAGTACACAGGCAGCCAGAAGGAACAAACTCATGGTGAAGAAATTTACCTCCGCTGCAGACATGAACACGCTTCCTGTTAGCTTAGGGACAGCATGCTCTGCCGCACGCTTGGGCCCCTACTGCCTCGAAGGCGATTGGTTAGAACTTACCTTCCTTTGCTGAGTTTATAGCAAAGCACAGGGTGACGGCATTGTCCCTCTGCTTGGGAAGCGGAATTGAGACCATGACAACACCAAGGTGTGGATTGGTGCCGCCAGCTACATGTGAGGGCCAACACACTTTAGAACGTCTCCATGTTCTTAAAGGATACTGGCTACATGGAAGCCCTGCAGAGGGCAAGGAAGTATATGTGATGAGGTCAGTGTGTTCAGCCATGACAAGTCCCGAGGACAGCTTCAAGAAACGGTTGATTTGTCAGGGCAATTTCAGAAATGTACCGTTAGGATGGAGAGAATTGTATACAAACATTGACAGAAGAAAAGGTATCCAATAAGCTGATTTCCTAGGCCAATGTGGAAACCATTTTCATAAATGTTGTTGAAAGTCTGATGCTTAGTCAACATGTTAGAATTTAGCAGAAATTTCTTTGAAGAATCCTGGAATTCAGATGCTCATTAGTTCCCCCAAATTCAGTCATGGAAGAAAATTGACATCAGAAGGATAAAAACAGACTACCATGCCACACCCTAAATGAGGATCAACCTTCTCTGGGTGACTCGGGCTTTCAGCCATAATGGTACATACTAACAAGCTCTGGGAAGCAACCAACACACCTAAACTTGGGGCACCTCGAAGTGAAGACCCAGGAACACACACCCAAGGTTAGAGAAACCCATGCTTTCCTCATTTGAACAACATGGATACCAAGGAGTGGGAAAGTATTGACAAAAGCTTTTATTTGTTGTCCACTCAGAGACCTACACTAAGTAGCTCCTGCCAGGTGATACTGCAAGGCTTGGCTGGCCCTCCTGACTTCCGAGCAGCAGCAGGGCCAGCAGGATTCTTTCTATGTATATTGGAAACCAACTTTCCTGGTTTGCTGAGAGGTATATAAGCACAGTTAAGATTTGCACACATTTTCCTTGTTATCCACATTTCAGGCCGCCCTCCACTGCTGTGTTCTTCCTCGAGAATTTATTCTAGTAATTCCTTTGTTATTGATTTGTCTCTTATTTGTATTCTTTCAATCTTGTGTGAAATGAGTTCATTGCCTTGTTGTCTCTAAAAATAATATTTCAGCAAATTAATTATTGAAAAATTAGCAATATCCATTGGTTAGCATTGGCTTAGGGATCAGTTTATTCAGGGTTTGATTTTATTATATTATGCCTCATGTACTTTATCAGTTCTGGATAATTCTTGGCCATTTCCTTTGAGACATCACTTCTGTTTCCTCTGGTGTCTCTTTCTGTGACTCCAACCCAGCTTGTATCCAACTTTCCCACTGTATTATCAATCATATTTCCTAACCTATGTCTCAGATTTTCCATTGTTCTTCCTTCTTCAGCTCTGCCATGTGCAACTGTTCAATCCCATTGTCTTTCAGGTTTTTTCTGTTTTATTCTTTGGTGTGTTTGTTTTAATATGGTATTACCACATAGCCCTAGCTAACCTATTCAGACCATTTGGCCTTAATCATGGTACAATTTTCCTGCCTCTTACTTCCAAGTGCTAGAATAATGTGTAAACTACCATGCTTGGATATCTTGGTCATTCATAATGGTGTCTTGTTACTTCATTGTAATTATAATTCTAATTATAAATTTTAAGTAACTTAATTATTTATAAACAACTTTGTTATTTAAACATCTATCTAGAGCTAGTCTGTGCTCTTGTCTAGCAATTCCACAGTGCACGCTCATTGGATGACTAACCTGTTATCATTTTTTTTCTGTTGTCTCCTTATTTTTATCTTTCAGGATGCTTGGTGATCTTTGGTTTGGAGCTTGTTGTTTAATCTTAATCTGCAAGAATCCAAGACTAAGCTAAATATGATTTTTTTAAAGAAAGATTTTGAGTCTGCTTCTGCTAGGAACCAAAGGATGGATTGTTGTTAACTTTGAACAACTGTATCCTCTTTCAGGAATCCTAAGCCAGAGTGGAAGTTTGGGACACACCACTTCCATACTGCTGGCACCCCAACCTTTTGAGTGAGAAGAACCTTTGCCCTTCAGATAACCCAAATGTGTTTGCTTGTTATTTTGAGCTCTGACATGAGTTTGTTTGAGGTGTGGGACAATGGTCCCCAGAGAATTTCAGTACCTCTTACAAGTTCAGAAATCTATCTTATTCAGAGTCTAATTATGTAGTTGAAAAAACCAAAAAGCACACAGTTGGTCTAATAAATAGAAATAAATAATTTTTGTTTATTTTTCTTTGTAATTACTGGAGAAAATAATTTGCACACCCACAAAATATGAAAACCACTAATTTTCCCAATTAATGCAAAAAAATGAATAAAAGGAAGAAAGATAAACAAACAAACAAAAAAAAAACAAAAAGGCCATGGCCCCTGCTGATTGTTTTCTCGCCTGTTGTTCTCATCCAGCGGTTCAGCACCTTCTTACGACGCTGACTGATACACCTTCTTTACTTCCAGACACTCTACCAAGAAGAAGGATGGCCAGTGCCTTCTCTAAGTTGCTAACTGGCCGCAATGCATCCCTGCTCTTTACTACGCTGGGAACCAGTGCTCTGACCACTGGCTACCTGCTCAACAGGCAGAAGGTGTCTGCTGATGCCCGGGAACAGCACAAGCTCTTTCCAGCAAGGTGAGTCTTCCTGGCTTTTAAATAGCTCGGAGTGTCAACCAGATGCTTCTCTCCTGCTGGGAACAGTCATTGAGAGGCCTCCTTTTTGTTTGTTTGTTTGTTTGTTTATCTATTTAATTCTATCTCATTTGTTTGGATGTTCTGCCTGGGTGTACGTCTTTGCGTTGTGTACATGTAGTACCTGCAGAGACCAGAAGAGGGTCTCAGAGCCCCTAGAACTGGAATCATAGACAGTTGTGAGCCACCATGTGGGTGTTGGGACCTGAACTCGGGTCCTCTGGAAGAGCAGACAGTGCTCCAAACCACTGAGCTAACAGACAGTGCTCTATATCACTGAGCTATCTCTCCAGTCCCTGAGAATTCTTCTTTTTGTCTTTCTAAATGCCCAAGCCAAACTTAATCATTTTTGAAGCTCGTTAAGCCTAGTGACCTGTGACAAATACAAGGAATAAATTCTCATTCTTGCCCAACTCTTGCCATCCAGTTAAACAGTAACAACAGTGATAGTTCACATTCACGGAACTAGCATTTACGTTATGAGACCATGTGCTAACATGTATGTTAGGGCTTTTCACATGGGGAGAGATTCATTTTAGCATCCTAGTAATGTACTGACTTCATCCAAAGTTATGTGTTTAGTGCAGCCAAATGCAAACCCAAGCTTCTTGATAGCAGACCCATGCCTCCCTCAGTGCTCCACCATATTCTAGGAAACATGATCAAGGTATTGACCTTAAGTGTGAGCATTAAAGGACATCACAGACGGAAGGTGGAGTCATGTCACACAGAAGTTGAGGACATATTCTGCTGCCTCAGAATCTCACTGTGTCCAACACACCAGTGCCCTAAGTAGTTTGAACTGTGTGTCCTGGGATTCCCACATAGGTAGGAGTAGAAGAAAAAACAACTAAGATTCTCCAGGAGATATTTGCTCTCTGGGAGCCTGAGCATCTCTGAGGGAAGCAGAGTAACTATGAACCCCAGGAACCACTGAGGGGAGAGCACCTGTGTTTAAGTCCGTGGTGCTCCTCACATTCTTCAGACAACAAATAGCCAGAGTAAGACAGCATCCGAATTGGTATCCTGTGTGTGTTATAATATCCCAACAAATATTTACCAAAGACTTGTGCCCATGGCTGGTCACTGTTCTGGAGACAGGAAAGGGCTCTGTTGTCATGAAGCTTGTCCTGCAGGCAAAGGACAGAGAAGTAAACAACATTCTAGATAGTTCCATCTCTGTCTCTCTCCCCACCACAGACCCATGAGACCAAATTTGTCGAATCTTACCAACACTTCTGAGTGGAAGAGAAATCTGTAAAAAATGATTTCAACTCATTTTCTGACTTTCCTCTTTCCCTCTGTTGTTTCTATAGTATCATGGGATTCTTGGTAGGTGGGGCCATGTCCTCTCTCTAGCAGCCACTGGCTCTGGTGTTTGTCTTAAATCTGTCTTACTCAAGTCAGGCCTTGTAGGCATCTCTATCCAATGCCCCCTGTGCCCACTGGGCCAAGAGAGCCTGGTTGAGGGTCTCAGGGAAACTGAATCTCTGATAGCCCTTACCTGGGGGCTACTGGTCCACAGCCTGTCTCCTCCCACAGCGCAGACTACCCTGACCTGAGGAAACATAACAATTGCATGGCCGAGTGCCTCACTCCCACCATCTATGCCAAACTCCGAAACAAGATGACCCCCAACGGCTACACCCTGGACCAGTGCATCCAAACCGGAGTGGACAACCCCGGCCACCCCTTCATAAAGACTGTGGGCATGGTGGCTGGTGACGAGGAGTCATACGAGGTAAAACAGAGGGCGGCTGGTTCCAGGGGTGGGGCTACCCTGAGTGTGGTTGAGGTGCACAGTCATGGGACTCTATCTTTCTTTGGAGTCAGTTTTTTGCATCTCCAGGAAGACTCCAATATAGGGAACTCTCACAGAATCCTTGGGAGTGCTTTCTGGAATTCTGAGATGTATAGCTAGCTAGAGACAAGACTTTCTTGCCAGTGTACCTCTTCAAAGAGAGGTTGAATGACAAAGTTCTCTGAACCCATCAAAATCTGTGTTGGTAAAATAAATAAATAAATAAAATTGAATGCCATGTATTCATCAGAAAGACATCAAGTGTTTGTATCTGGGTCTGTTGGGTAGGGATGAATTGTACATCTGTAGTTTGAGCCTTATCTTCCTATTACTGTAGCACAAGCTCCTGGGCTCACCGAGTTTCTTGGATCCAGCCTCATGCTTGGTGTGGAGATAGAGTGTCTTCTCATAGCAGAACTTAGGGCAATATATACCTGTGCCTCACAGGACAGCCTCTTCACTGTGACAAACGCCTGCAGCCCGACTCCCTCATTCTCTGTCTCTTCTCTCTCCAGTCTAAAGGCAGCTTCTCAGGAAACTTGCCATCAATGGACTAGAAGGGTCATCCTAAATAAACAAAATAGTGCCAGTAGTGCCTAGTTAGCTTGTAACAGCGACAGACTAAAGCTATCTCTTTGATCCTAAAACCCTTCTTTCCACTTCCCATAACTCCCAAGTCTGCAGAGAACTCTATTATTAGATGTAACTTCTCTTGACTTTACTTTATCAAAAGGCTACCCTGTCTATTTGGCTCATTTGGTTGTTTGGCTTTGGGGTTGGACAGTCTCACAGGGTAACAGACTCTTGTTTTGTCTTACAGTACAGTTGGCTTCCCCACAGACTTAGTGCTTTGCTTAGAATCTCAGAACCTGACCTTCTCTTTTGATCACAAAACTTGCTTAGCCTCCCACCCCCAAACTGGTGCCCTTGGGTTCTTAACCACCAGGTTTTCTCATCCAGTGTGGTAACAGTGAGCTTGGCAGAATCCTTGCAGGGGTGTTAAGAGCAGAACCCAGCAGCCCCATACCCTGTCAGGAGCGAGGTGACTCTGAATGCTAGTCTCTGGTGCGCGCTTGCTCTTTTCATTCTTGTCCACTAGCCTACTCTTATACGCATATCCCCCATGGTTGCACGGCGACTTTCAGAGGAGGTCCTTGAGGAGAAAGGGAACAAGTGAAAGCAAAAGTCCTTTGCTACTAGACGAGCCAGTTACAGAAGGATATTCTCGCCTACAGGTGTTTGCTGAGCTTTTTGATCCTGTCATCAAGCTCAGGCACAATGGCTATGACCCGAGGGTGATGAAGCACCCTACGGACCTGGATGCATCCAAGGTAGGCTCCAGCCTCCATTTTCACCCCCACCCCCCATGATGCAGTTACTTCCTGAATCCAGAGGCAGAGGAGGGACCCCAAGAGCTTCTACCCTAGTGAGAAGTCCTGAAAGGTCTACATAGCTTACATTCCCCATATCCTTGAGGTCTAGGGGAGGTTTAGAGGTCCTTTAAAGGGGCTTCTAGGGGACAATCAACTGACAGGAACTTTAAACTTTCCTAAGGTGTTTTGCTCCAACCAAAACCATCTTTTCCAGACCCCACCTTACTTAACTAAAGTGGCTGCCCCAGAGGTTGTAGACGTAGACACACCCAAACGTAGACATACCCAGACATAGACACACCACATTCTGTGCAATGCGGTACCTGAATGTTTCCAGGCAAGGTTTTCAGGTCAGAGGATTGTGCTCCGTGGCTGCCACGGTGACCCTCTGCTCTGCCCCACCCGGCAGATCACTCACGGGCAGTTTGACGAGCGCTATGTGTTGTCCTCCCGGGTGCGCACTGGTCGCAGCATCCGTGGGCTGAGCCTGCCTCCTGCCTGCTCCCGGGCGGAGAGAAGGGAGGTGGAGAATGTGGCCATAACTGCCCTGGAGGGCCTCAAGGGGGACCTGGCTGGTCGCTACTACAAGCTGTCTGAGATGACCGAGCAGGATCAGCAACGGCTTATCGATGTGAGTAGGTGATAACTCCCCCGGGGGCTGCTGGGAGGGAGGCTGGACCCACAGCTCTGCCTTGGCCTCTACCCACATAAGAACGGGGCCCGTGGAGCTGAAACTGGCCCAGAACTTTCACGGTGTCGGTGTAAGGAAAGAGCTGAAGCTTTAAATCCTGTCAGGCCAGGGCTAAAGTCTAAAGAGGAGACTCCATTATGAGTGCTGGATGGGGCACAAAAGGGTGGGGTGAGTGGGGGATCTGCCTCCTGCCACCTCCGAGCCAGTGAGAACAGTCGGGTGTGGAAATCCTGTTCATATTTATCACACCCTAAGAAAACTCTGGAAGCAGAGAAGATCAAGGGAGGAAATGAAGGTGCTTCCCCTGACTGGAACGGAGACAGTGGAGGCTGTCTGTAGACACTCATCCCTGGCGCTGCCCAGTACCTCCGGGATCTCTCTGGCTCTAGAGTAGACAATAAACCAGGCCCCTTTTGGTTTTGTAAGAGAAGGTCTCGGTATGTAGCCTGTGTTGGCCTCAAACTCACAGCCATGCCCTTGAATCAGCCTCCCGAGTGTTGAGCTTGGGTCCCTTTATGTCCTCACAAATTAAAACAGAATGCATTTTCAAAAGTGACGTTTAACTGAACTCCACAAAAAAGGAGAAACAAGATTCTGTCATCTCAGAAGTTGGAAATGGCATGAAACATCCCATTTCCAAACCACAAAGAACAGCTGTATAGTTGGTACACCTGTCTCCAGACGTGTGCAGACTCCGCCTGCCTGCCGTTACAGAGCAAACCCTCATCTTCCTTAAGCAGCCACCCTACCTTCCTGTTTATGGGTGAGCTTCCTCTTGGGCAATAGTTCAGGAGATATTTCTCCAACCTTCTCCAGCCCTTTCTGTCCCCAGTCTTCAAGATCTCCCACTTGGAAAATCTAGAAAAAATCCTCACATCTGCTTGGGATATTGCCTCAGTGTGAGCTCTGGGAATTGGTGTTTTTATTTTTAAAAATCTCTCAAGCTGTTACAGCTCGCAGTGAATCTGAGTTACGCTGCCCAAGAGGCCTCTTTATCTGTTGAGACTTGATTGCCTGGTCCATGCCTAGTCTTACAGATTCTTCTCTCTGCTTTGTCCCCCTTGGCCCGCAGGACCACTTTCTGTTTGATAAGCCAGTGTCCCCTTTACTAACATGTGCTGGGATGGCCCGTGACTGGCCTGATGCCAGGGGAATCTGGTATGGATGTAGTTTTCACAGTTACCCTGTGTGTGGAGAATCTCAGCTCTCCTGCTTCTTCTAACCCGAGGTTGCTGTGAACCGCAGTTGACAGCATGTCCGGCTTGAGCGAAATGGGGAAGCCAAGTCTACGTGTGTGTGTGTGTGTGTGTGTGTGTGTGTGTGTGTTGTGATATTTTTTAAAAAGAGTGACAGGAATGTGAGCTGGTTTGCATAAATCATGCATGGGGAAGACTTCAAAATACTTCATATTAGAGAATCTGTTTGTGAACTTAGGACAAACAAACCCAAAATGAAAAATTAAAACTGAAAATTCTGATTTTCATATTGATGATTGATAATATTGATACGACACACCATTCCTAAAAGGAGGAGTGGCTATTTAATGTATAAACATCCTCTATAGAAGTCCTCAGCCTACCTTGACTTTGTTATCCCAACTGTCCCCAGAAGGAGCTGAGGAAGAATGCTCACAAAAGGGTAAACAGCCTGAGTTTATGTATCAAATGCATGTGAATTCTTGGGGTGTAGGTAAAGTTCCTCCATCCTTGTCTCTCATTTTTCCAAGTACGACAAGTTTTTGGTCGAATCTCTTAGGAGACAAAACAGTCCTAGCATCAGATGTCATTATTTTGTAGTCCTTGTTCAGGCACAGTTAAGAGATAAGGGCCATCTAGGGAACGGGGAAGATGAAATACAGCAATCAAGCTGCAGAGGTAATGAGAATGTTCAAGTGTTGCAGTAAGCGCAATTAACAGCACCGCATTTCTGTCTTCGTTAGGCATAATTATGACAAGACATTTCTCATCTGGATAAACGAGGAAGACCACACCAGGGTAATCTCAATGGAAAAGGGAGGCAATATGAAACGAGTATTTGAGCGGTTCTGTCGTGGACTAAAGGAAGTAAGTGTCCATCATGGGTTTACAGACATCATGGATTTTAAATTATTATTATTTTATGTGCTTTAAATTATTTTATTTTGCACATATGAGTGTTTTTCCTGCACTGCCTGTGCCCCACATGCATGCAGTGCCCGTAGTGGCCAGAAGAGGGCGGCAAATCCCCTGGACTACAGAAGCAGATGGTTGTGCACTGCCACGTGGGTGTTGGGATCCAATATGGGTTCTTCTGGAAGAGCTGCCGGTGCTCTCAAGACGGGAGCCATCTCTTTAGCTGCTATTTTGCATTTTAAAAAAAGATATTTTGGTGACTTCCAAAGAGGAAGTCCTTTTTTTCTCTAAGAATCAAATCTTCCAGAGTAGTGCTTCCAAAGGGTGGGGACTTTTCTCTTTGCGCCATTTTCTCATTCTGTTCTAAACGTGGAGAGGGGGTGGTATAGATGGGGGCGGATGGGTGAGTGGGAATGACAGAGGTAGAATGGGTGGGAGTGGGTGGGCGAGGACGTGGGACTGGATGGGACAAAACAGAACAGATTCTCACAGGCTTATCTGTTGAGAATTCCTACGTTTTCCTGCAGTCTTTGCATGAGAAAGAGTATCAACTGGTATTTATTGGGAGCTTAGAATATTCTAGAGACCGTGTTTAATGCTTTTCATGGCCACCCGATTTGCTAGGATCACTTTAATACACTATAAAGGAGCTCTCAGGGCCAAGCACACAGAGCCACTACAGTTGCTCTCTTGTGATCTGCTGGCCTCTCTCCTGGCATTTGGGATGACCCGAGGGTATAGATATTCAAGAAGGCTGCCATCTGTTCCTGGCTGTTGCATTTGTAGGTGGAACGGTTAATCCAAGAACGAGGCTGGGAGTTCATGTGGAATGAGCGGCTAGGCTACATTCTGACTTGCCCCTCGAACCTCGGGACTGGATTGCGAGCTGGTGTCCACGTTAAGATCCCCAAGCTCAGCAAGGTAAGGGCGTGTGACCAGAAGCTGGGTCTCAAGACTCAGCGCAGATGTGAAAGCTTTTCAGAAGGTGTCAGAGTTCACTCCTTGACCCTGACCTTTGCAATGGAAGAGTGATGAGAGGCCCAGGGCTGGCTTAAGGTCACTTGCATTAGTTAGGATAAAAGGTTCAGGACCTGGGAAAGGGGATGGGGACTTAAGAATAGTGCCTTTGAGTCTTCATCATGTAACAGGGTCGGTGCGGGCTGCCTGCTCTGCTCCCTAGGGTTCCCCTCTTGTCCTAACAGCTGAGCCTGCATGAGAAGCACCTGGAGGGAGGGCTTGGGTAGCTAGGTCATGCTTGTGCAATTTCTTTTCTTTCTTTCTTTCTTTCTTTCTTTCTTTCTTTCTTTCTTTCTTCCTTCCTTCCTTCCTTCCTTTCTTCCTTTCTTTCTCTTTTTACATTTTATATTTGTGTATTTGTGTTTTGTGCAGTGTGGGGGAATATGTAGGTTCACAGTGGAGGCCAGAGGAGAATTTCCAGGTTCTAGTGGTCGAAGGTCGAAGTCAGGTCATCAGGGTTGGCAGCAAGCACCATCCAGGTCCAGGAATTTTTATTTCTCGCAAGTTTTCAGGTGACTGAGGCTGCTGGTAGGGGGCCTTGTTTGGAGGATCGCTCAGAGCATTTTCCTCATTTGCATAGCCACGGTCATTCTCCGTGTTCTAGAACGTGAGAGGAGAGAGCATGTAGGCATGTCCATGAGGAGGTTTAACATGTAAGGAGAGTGCATGTAGGCATGTCCACGATGAGGTTTGAGGTGTCGGAAGAACACATGTAGGCATGTCCACGACGAGGTTTGAGGTGTCAGGAAGAAGGTGGCACACACAACTTCTGCTCATTCTGTTGACAAGAGCTCAGGCAGCAAGCAGCTGCATCCTCAGCTCCATGGCTGGACAGAGGGTAAAGGACCCAGACTGGGAGCTAGGCATTTCTGCCACAGCACGCAAAGTACATCGAGGAAGCTTAAACAAGCTTAGAAAACTGTGCTGCCTGTCAAGATAAA